TGGAGGGGGAGAGATTTACCAAAGAATTTATGTGCTTTATGCACAGCCCAAGGACAGGGACAATGGTGTGGGGAGGGACTGGGGAGGGGGCGGAGTGGGCTGGGAGGAGGCAATGGGGAGAAAAAGAGGCATCTGTAATATTTTGAGCAATAATTTAAAAAGGTGTTTCTTTTTTTTTTAGATGTAGCATTTTTCTTTGTTTTCAGAGGAGTGTTGATTCACATTTCGCATTTTACTGTTTCCAAAACTAATCTGTTTTCATCTCTCCTCCCTCGTTTTCTGTGGTCCTGCTGCATCAAATGCGCAGCATTCCTTTGACTCTGCCATATGAAATATTCTACTTCCAGTAGGACCCCCTTTTCCTTAGGTGTTTCGTTTTCAGCTTTCTCAGTAATTTTTAATGGCTCTTATTGGCTATTTTTTCTCTGCACGTATATTCATATCTTTTACATGCCTTTATACTAATTTTAGTGGGATTTTCAAAGAGCAGAAATAAATGCCTGTTTTCAACCTCTCACGTTTTATCAGAAGTCCAGTCTACATGTTAAAACCCAAACCATAAAAACACTCCACCGCTCCACTCATGATTCTAAATGTACATGCAGGGCTATAACACCACCATACTGCTATACCTGTTTTTTTCTTTTAGTATATCGCTTTTTTTTATATTATACACGTTTAGCTCCTCTACTCATCTGTGAATTCCTAAAGTTGGGGGTTATAATATGTTTATTTTTCCATTCTCCAATGCCTGGTATGATGCCTATTAGAGACTATGATTTCTGTACGCCTGTGAGTAAAAACTGCATTTGTCTGCAGCGTTATCTGGACGGTACTGATGAGGCGCTAACGCGTCTTTGGCTCAAGCCCTTGGCTCCTCGCCCTGCGGGTGCGGCACTTACGATGAACAGGGTGTTCACAGCCTTGCACTCGCTCGCTTCTCCGGAGTAGCCACACAGGTAGTTTTGATCCAGAATAAAACCGAATACAAGGAGAAGGACCCCGGTCGTTGCTGCCAGGACGCTGAAGCAGTTCATGGTTTGGCTCATCCTCACCTGCGGGAGAGCAAAGGGGTAAGGCAATGACCAGGCCCCGAGTCTACAGACAGGGTGGGTGCGGGGGGCCCAGGGAGCGGGTGTCAGCCGCAGCCCACCACGCCGCCGGGGCATCGTCCATGCGGCCCTTTACCTCTTTGGAGGCCAGGCCTTCAGCTACAGAATGAGGGGGTCCAGTGAGCTTTTAATAACCCTTCCATCTCCCATAATCTGGGCCTATTTTTTTTTTTTAAATATATCTTTATTGATTTCAGAGAGGGTGGGAGAGAAACATCAATGATGAGAGTCATTGATCAGCTGCCTCCTGCACGCCCCCGACTGGGGACCGAGCCTGCAACCCGGGCATGTGCCCTGACCGGGAATCGAACCCCGATCCCCTGGATCCTAGGTCGATGCTCAACCGCTGAGCCACGCCCGGCCCGGCTGGGGAATCTGTGCCTAATTTAAATCCCATTTAAGCTGGTTTCGAGTCTTTGCCTAAGAAATACAATGTCTGGGCATTTTCACAGAGAGTTTCTATTAATTGCTCTCTTCCCTGTAGACGGGCGATGCTTTCTTGGTTTTGCTCATCTCATAATTTTTGGGTTGTAAACGGATTGGTCGGGGGCTGGGCGAGAAGGGTGAAGGGATTCAGCAAAGAAATAAAAGAAAGACTCAGGGACACAGGCAACGGTGTGGTGACTGCCAGAGGGAAGGGGGGGTGGGAAGCAGGAGAGGCGAAGGGGGATAAATGGTGAGGGAAGGAGGCTTGACTTGGGGTGCTAACCACGCAGTACAATATACAGAGGAGGTGTTCTGGAATTGTACACCCGACCCCTGTACAATTTTATTAACCAACGTCACTCCAATAAACTCAATAAAAAATAATAGAAAACAAATAAAGAAATCCCATTCAGTTGGTGGGAGGGGCACACATTGGACAATAAAAGTTCTTAGGGGCCCACATTGCATATTGCTGCTCTGGTCAAAGTCATGACCTAATTACGTTTTTGTTTCATGACTCTGTTTAACTAAAATAATATATATAATTGGCTTATTAATATCCCATAGCTTTGCTTCTTTGAGAAAAGTAAAAATATTCTACTTAGAGTTTATCTGGAAGTTAAAGTTGTGCATTCAGTAACACTATTTTTCAGATTCTGCTCATGAAGTTTAATCAGGTCATCTACATAGTGTGCCTGTCATGTGTGTGTCAAGCAACTGCATGTGTGTGTCAAAGCACCTGGCATGCAGTAGGCACCAGAAATCCTTGCAGGAAGAGTGAGGGCGTTACTGGAATAATGAGACCCACTCTGCCATGTGGCTGAGGAACTTGCACAAGTCATTTGTTCTAGGCCTCAGTGTCTTTACATATAAAATCAGAACTAAACTGGATGACCTAGGAAATTCACTTTTGGCACTAATGTTTTATAATTCTATGAAAAAAAGGAAGCAAATAACATCGATCGGTATGGGTAATTGAGAGTTTGTGGGATTATAATGGCTTAATGATATTCCAAATTTGCTTTCAAGGCTCGAATGAATTAATTCAAAGTTATAAATACATTGTCAACAAAGGTGAATGTAACTCACCAGAGTTTTTGTGCCTTTTCTTTCCAGTGCAATTAGGCAGGCTCCAGAATAAATGAACTGTTAGGAAAAAATACATCTCTTAGTGATGGGTGTAAAGAGTGCTCGCAGAATAGACTTCTACGTGCCCATTTCACAGACCCTCCTTCGTACTTCACACATCCTCAGGGGAGCGAGAAGGGCAAGAGGCCTCGAATGGGTTGTCCATACGTGAGTAGTGGACAAAATACTGAACTCAAAATTTCCTTTAGCTTCAACTATTTATTTGAACGTAAGGATTTTTTTTTTTTTTTTAACTTTCCTGGGCTTTAGTTTTCTCATTCATCTTTTTATAGCTATTGCTGACTCAGCTTTGACATCATGACATCCTGGTGTCAAATCAACTTACAACCAACAAGGTCAGATTTCGTCATTCTTATAAGAAGCATCCTTCCTACCCATTTGCAACCCAATGTGTTCTCTTGGACAGGAACACAGGCAGAGCTGCAGATAATATGCAGAGAATTCTGTAAAAATCCCAGGAATTTTCACGGGGATGAGCCGTACTGGCAGCATTGCTGTCTAGGAGAAACTTCAAATCTGATCACGGTACATCCATTTTTAAACTTCTAGCCCGTTGCCTGGTTTTCTTCAGCCTCGCCCCTCCACTCTTACTCTCTGCACTGAGCTCTCACAGTTCTCAGGATGCAAAGTGCTCCTCACACCTTAAGCTTTTCTCTCGTGTTTGTCCCTTGACTTATAGCGAGATATCCTGCCCCTTACACCCAACCGCCCCCCACTCCCTCCCTCTGTGTGTGTCTTCATCTGATCAACATTCTTTAAAACTCAATCAAGCTGGAAAGGCTCTGGGCAACCTCCCCTCTGTTTCGTAGGTGCCTTTCCTAAAGAGGCAGCTTGTGAGTCCTTTGTCACCGTGCATAGTAATTTTTTCGTGTGTTACTATTTTTGTTTGGTTGGGTTTTGTTTCTCCCAATTTTATTGAGATATAATTGACATACATCACTGTATAAGTTTAGGGTGTATAGCATAATGATTTGACTTACATATATCAAAACGATCACCACAATAACTTTAGTTAGCATCCATCATCTCGTACAGATACAAAACAAAAGAAAGGAAATGTGTGTTTTTTTTCCTTTTGATAAGAACTCTTAGGATCTACTCTCTTAAATTTTTCATATATAACATACAGAAGTGTTAACTATAGTCACATTCACCCCTTCATGCCTTTTGACACCACCCCCCTCCCTGCTACTAATAACCTCAAATATGATCTTTTTTCCCTTTGTGTGTTTTTTAAATTAAATTTGGGGAATGACATTGGTTAATAAAATTATACAGATTTCAATTCTATGACACATCATCTGTATATTGCATTGTGTGCCTACCACCCAAATTCAAATCTTCCATCACCATATATCTGACCCTTACTCCCTCCCGACCCCCTTTGATTCCACATATAAGTGAACTACTACAGAATTTGTCTTTCTCTCTCTGACTTATTTCATTTAGCATGATGCTCTCAAGTTGTCACAAGTGGCAGAATATCCTTATTTTTTATGACAGAATATTCCATTGTGTGTGGGTGTAAACTTCTTTATCCATTTGTCTATAGATGAACACTTAGCTTTTTTTCATGCCTTGGGTGTTGTAAATAATGTTGCTATGAACATGGGGGTGTAGATATCTCTTTGACATAGTGTTTTCATTTCCTTTGGATATATTCCCAGAAGTGAAATTGCTGGATCCTATGATAGATGTAGTTTGAATTTTTGGAGGCATCTCCATACTGTTTTCCATAATCAGGGCCCATGTATTAAGCTTTGGATCCTGATTGCCACCTTCTATGTATCTGGCTTAGATGGTAAGTCATTTTGAATGAATGAATGGACAAACCACCTCAAGACCCAAAGAAATATTCCCAAAGGAACTTCAAGACCAATGACGGAATATCAGTAACTCTGATGAGTTCGTGGGGAAATAATTTCAACAAGATTGATTTTTATTTTGACCTTTCGAAGCCTATCATGCAGCTGAATGCAGCTCACTTTGTAACTAAGAATTCTCTAACACCCTGGTTGGCATGGCTTCATATTGAACTGATGGACTCTACTCACCAAAACGGAGCTCCAGAACGGGTATCCTGTAACAAATATAAAGGGGAACCTTGGGTATGGTTTTTCAAAGGTGAAAAAGAAAATGACTCCAAGGGAAAAGTTCATCAGTCCAAGCAGGATCTGGATAGTCTACAAATAGAGGAAAGAGACACGGTGAGAAAGAAGCAAAACGGCGGGCCCCCCTTCCGAAGAGGTCGGAGATCCCCTCTTGGTAAAGGGTTCGGCAGTTATCATCTCGTAAATAAGGGAAGGACAGTGGAAGCCCCTTTATGATGCACCCAGGAATTTTCAGATCCCTCTACCTGATGTTTGGTAATAAGCAACATACTCTAAATCAATGCTCCTGAGAATGTGGCCCGTGGGTTGGCAGCCTCGTGGCCACCTGAGAATTGGGGATGCAAGTTATCAGGCCCGATCCTGCGCCTACTGGGCGGAATCTGCAGGTTAGAAATCAAACCAGAGCCACGCGGCCCAGCCGTCCCGCTCCTGGCAAGTCCCCAGAGGAAACGCAGTCGCCGTCCCAAAGGAAAACCTTCGCCGTCATGTTCACGGCAGCACTGGTCACAGTGGGTGAGACATGGGAACAGCCCAGGTGTCCCCTGAGACGAATGGATCCAGGACATCAAATACTATTCAGCACAAACTAGAAGAAAATCCCGCCGTCTGCGACAGCGCGGGGGACCTTGCGGGCATCGTGCAGAGTGAAGTAAGTTAGAGGAAGGCAAGCGTTGTCCCATCGTCTTTATATGTGGGAGCTGAAAGCCCTGAATGCATAGAAACGGGGGGAGAGTGGTGGCTGTCAGGGCCTGAGGGTTGGAGAGAATGGGGAGGCGTTGATCCAGGGGTGCAAACTCCCAGTCGTAAGTTCCAGGACCTAAGGTACAACATGGTGACTGCAGCTAACGACACTGTGTTATGCACTTGAGAGTTGCTGTGAGAGCTGAGTTTTCTAGCTCTCACCGTAACAACAGCAGCATGGCAATTACATGAAGTGAACGGTGTGATAACTAGCCTTATTGTGGCAAACATTTTGCATTATATATGTGTGTGTGTGTGTGTGTGTGTGTGTGTGTCAAATCATCACATTATACGCCTTAAATTTACACCATGTCATATGTCAGATACATCTCAATAAAGCTGGCGCTGAATTCTAGGCCTCCATGCCAGCCTGGCCTCAAGCAAAAGCGGACTGTCAAGAACCCTCCTTTGGATGACCAGTCCTGAGCCCGTAGAGGTATTATCACACCCCGGGGGGCACAGCACTCCCCATCTTTTCTGTTTTTGTCCCTGCGTCACTTGTGCAGGGGTCTGACGAATGCTGGGGAGCCTGATGGGAATGCCATGAAGAATGGAAGGGGTACAGGGTAATAGCCCGTGGCCTCAGCTCTCTCATTCCCGCCCACCTTCTCCATTTACTCCCATTGCAACTGTTACGTTTAAGTAGTTGAGTTGTAAACAATATTTTCCTCAACTTCAGACCCACATTTTTAGCTCTTGTCAAACATCCCCACTCGAATGCTCCATGGTTAACACCACCTCCTGTTCAATATGTCCAAAGCCAAGTTCACTCTTTAAGGAGATGGAGCCTTTCTCTATAGCTCTCCTCTTTCATTTCTGAGCCCTCCCTAAAACTGCCTTTACAGGTTCCTTCAGGACAATCTCAGCTGCTTCTAGCATGCACCTCAAAACTCTTCCAGCCTCTACCCATTGCCCAGTTCCAAAGCTGCTTCCACATTTTAAAATATTTATTATAGCAGCATCCCACCTCTTGGTACCAATTTCTGTCTTAGTCAGCTTGGGCTGCTATAACAAAGCGTCATATGTTGGGTGGTTTATAAACAACAGAGATTTATTTCTCACAGTCCTGAAGGCTGAAAGGCTGAGATCAGGGTGCCAAAATGATCAGATTCTGTTGAAGACCCCCTTCTGGCTTGTAGACTGTAGTCTTCTCTGCTGTATCTTCACAAAGAAACCTAGCTAGCTCTCTGACCCTTTCTTATAAGGGCATCAATGCCATTCATGAAGGCTCCACATTAATGAACTAATTATCCCCCAAAGTCCCCACCTCCAGATAGCATCACATTTGGATCATGGTTTCAAATACGAGTTTCAGGGAACACATATATTAGGTTTCTAACACACCTATAGTAACGTTTACATTGGGGCAAATCTTACTTACCCCAAAGATTTTAAATTTTGTAGTAAATAATTTTGAAAAGGGCATGGTAGGCCCATAGGCTGTGGCTGCATTTTTCGTTGACGGAAAGTCGGGAGCAGTGACCTCTGGAGGAAATATCATAAACACGGGATTGCGTACAGTTTTTGAACCCATGATGGTGGAGTTGATATTTTGAAGTGTAAAATTATTTAGTTGGTACTTCAGTCTAGATAGACCATGCTCTTATCGTGTCCCAAGGTTGTCTGGGGCACTGGCATTGTTGTGTTTTGTCTTGGAATTCTAGAACCATAGAGTCACAGAGTCATGGAATCTCAGGACTGGTCAAGATCTCAAGAAGGTGAGTGAGGAAAAGGCCCAGGACTAGGGGTCAGAGGACCTGACCCCTAGTCCTGGTTCAGTCAGGAACTCACTGTGACCTTGGGAAAGTCGCATCCCTCTCTTGGTCTTGGTTTCAGCTTCCATATATATACACATTGATCAGGTTGGACTAGAGATGTATAAAAATATTTCAGATCTCAAGTAAAAGAGTATTATGAGCATTTATTTTAGTTCTCTATCTTAAGTCAGGTAAAGGCCAAAACCCCTAAGCCATAAATTAATTAATTAGCCATTGCTTGAGGTAGACATAGTGTCTATGTAGCCTGTCACGTGTGTGTGTGTGTGTGTGTGTGTGTGTGTGTGTTGCCATCTGGTCGTCTTAGCTTTAGCTGTGAACAAATGACCACAAACATAGTGGCTTCAAACCACCACCATTTGCTTTTGCTCACAATTCTGTGGTTCCTATGTGTGGTTCAACTGTTCCTGTCCAGCTCAGCTCTTCTCTGCCAGGTTTTCTCATGCGTCGGTGGCCAGCTGGGGATCGAGCCCTGACCCAGGCATATGCCCTGACCGGGAATCAAACCGCAATCTCCTGGATCCTAGGTCAACGCTCAACCGCTGAGCCACACCAGCCGGGCTTGCCTAGTGGTCTTAATCTCTTGGTTTCCTGCTTCTGTTGAGTTCTTAGTTTTCCCTGTATATCTGGCCTTCTATGTACAGGGCTCCTTCAGGGCTCACAGCTTCTAAGTTGTCAGGTCATTTACGTGGCAGTTGAGCTAGGAATTCAAACCCCTGAGCTCAGCATTTTCTCTCCACACCTAGTCCAGTGACAATAGGAGTGACCTGCCAATCTCATAATATTAGTTTTCAAAAAATGTTCAAAAGCATCACATACAGTTACCTAACTCCTTGCTTCTCATAAGTGGTTGATAGTATTATTCAATATCTGTATCTCTATTGCCAGATCATGCCATGGACTATTAGTGCTCCCTTTACTATGAGAAATAGAGTCATTAGCATCTTCAAGTCTAATGAGATTACAGAGCCAATTCCAGAAACCTCAGCACCAATTCAGAAAACTCATCCTTAAAATTCTGTTCCTCTAGGTACCACTTTCCATAAAATCTAAGTTAGGGTTCTCCAGAGAAGCAGACCAGTAAGACACACACACACACACACACACATACAGTGTGTCCCCAAAAATGTATACACACTTTGAATAATTATTCATTCCAATGGGTTAAATATGAAAAGAAACATTAATTGAGCTATCAACTGTTAAAGTATGTATACATTTTTTGGGACACCCTGTATATTTTGTATGACTAGTTAATTTTTTAAACCATGTGAATATATAACTATGATTACTAAAACCTTAAAACCTGTCTACAGTTGATCTTTGGACCACAGGGGCACAGGGGTGCCAATCTTCACAGTCAAAAATCCATGTATAACTTTGACTCCCCCAAAACTTTAGTTATCCCTCAGTATCCATGGGGGGTTGGTTCCAGACACCCCCCCCCACACACACACTCACAGATACCAAAATCCTTGGTCGGCTAATATCCCTGATATAAAACAGCATAGAACAATGCATACAGTTGGCCCTCTGCATTGCAGATTCCCAACTATGAATGGAAAATACTGTTTTTGATCTGTGGTTAGTTGAATCCAGAGATGTGACACCTGGGGATCCAGAAGGATGACTGTATATTTATTGGGGGGGAAAAATCTATATATAAGTGGACCTATGCAGTTGAAAGCCATGTCATTCAAGGATCAACTGTACTTTTTGGCTTCATGTGTGACAAGGCAAGTTACTATATTAAAAGGAAAACATGCATCAAAATACATTGAATCACTTTCCCTCCTCCCTTTATCACTCCTCACGGGTGTGGTAGGAAGAACTGTGGCCCCGAGGAAATTCCACACTTCATTCTCGGGACTGCGACTATGACATCACACCCATGGGTATGTCCCCTTAAATGGCAAAAGGAACTTTGCAGAGAAAGTTAGTAAGTTTACTTTAAAATAGGGAGATTATCCTGGATTATTTGAATGGGCTCAATAGAATCACCGGACACCTTAAAGGTAGAAGTTTGAGGACTTGACAAACCCTTGCTGGGTTGAAGATGGAGGGGACCACATGAGAAGAAATGCAGGTGGCTTCTAGGAGCGGAGAGTGCCACTCCCGTTCCCCAAGCTGGCAAAGGGCAAGGAAACCTACAGCTGCAAGAAGCTGAATTCTTCCAACAATGAATGAGCTTGGAAGAGGGCTCAGGCCTCAGAGCCCCAGGCCTGGCCAGCACCATGATTTTAGTTGAGTGAGACTCCGCAAATCGTCTAACCAGATTGTCCCGTGCTTCTCACCTACAGAAACGGAAATAATTTGTGTTGTTTCAAGCACCTGCATTTCTTGGTAATTATCAATAGATAATACAAGGGGATAAAGGTAAGGCTCTACCATTTTGAACAAGATTTGAAGTTCTTTGCCTTAGATACTATTATTCAGAGCAGGGTAACTTCTGTGACAGACAATTCCATGTTTTCCTTGGCCTGGTATCAGAGGTCACAATCCAACTGGATTTAACCTCTGCAGTTATTTATGGGCCAGGTTTGATTCTCTACAGATCTGAGCTGCTCTGGGTCCTGAATTCTCTGCATCTGTCCAGTGCACGAGAGAAGAGAGATTTTGAGAACAATGCAGAGGCATCAAGTTCACAGGACACACAGTCAACGTGAACTGGGACGAGTTTCTCAATGGGAAATGGTATAGACTTGTCAGTGATGACAGGAATCCTCTCTCCAATGACTTGGCACTATTTAGGACCCCAGAACCCTAATGCATGTGTGCATCCATGTGCATGTGTGTGCATGTTAGATAGGCATGGGGCTGAATGAGCAGGAATGCCTATGTGGGTTGGATTATCAAACTATTTGATTTAAAAATTGCAAATATATATTTCCTGAACACCTGAGTGGGTGGACTGAAAGTTAAAGCCATTATACAAACACCATGCAAACATGTACTAATCTAGCGGAAGCAAAATGGGGAATTACTGGTATTATTCAGAGTAAGTGGAATACAAAGTGGCAATCATTTAGGAACTGGAGGCCAACCCAAGTAGGGCCCTTGAAAGGTCAAACAGCCTTGGGAAGCTCAAGAGGCTAATCTTTACTCCAGAAGCAAAGACAGGGAACTTATAGCCAGTCTCTCTAGCTCTATGCCTCAGTATTCTGCTGCACAGAACTTCACTTATCTCTAGGTGGAGGGTTCAGGCTCCCATTTATGCTTTTAAAGCCGATTTATTGAATGCCTGCCAGAAGCAAGCCTTTGTGTGGAATTCTGTAGAAGACAGATATGACACAGTCTGGGCTTATTCACAAGAAGATAAGAGAACTACAAAAGTGTATATGATTTTCAAAAAGAAGAAAGCTGATGAGAGGTCCCTCTGGAAATACTTATCTTAGACTTTTTGAAATGGAGAGAAAAACACAGAAGCCAACCAGGGTGATGAAGATTGCAGAAAGAAGGGGTGGTTAGCAACTCCAAGTGTATCAAAGTGATCGAGGACAAAGAGGACTGGAGAATGTAATTAAGCTTGGAGGGTGGCTTAATCAGGGTAACTGATGGCTCACACTGAGGATGAAATGATATGTCATAAGGGTTGAGAAGTTAGAAGCAGTGAGTGGAAGGGAGCTAGCGTAATTCAGTGTATTACGGTCTTTCATACTTTCTTTGATGATACCTGCATTCTCCAACCTTCTCTGCCGCCTACTTCCCCAGCTCTAGGTGTGTTTTATTGTCCTATTCTGTCCTCATTGCCACATTGCCACATTAATAATTGATCAAACTTATAGTATATATCCTCAACATAGACTTGGGAAGTGGGGAATTAAGTTGGGTGATTGGAAATAGCAAAACAGAGGAATGGTGGGATTGGTTTTTATTCTTTACCAACTCTTTTGATTCTTGGGCCCTTAGAGAACCTGCATAGACTTCCTCCTGGTTGATGTACTAAGCCCCTATAATATACAGAGGAGGGGGCGAGAAATACCAGCACCACAGAAAAGGAGGTCCTCTAAATATTAAGTTGTAAAATGAATTGCTGATCATAAATTGAAACACTAACACTGATGACAAAGAACTTGAAGGTGAATTGTTCTTTTACCCCCAGAAAGTTCTGAAACAGTTTTAATATTTGTTGTCATTTTATTTTACTTAAGAACAAATCCTTTGAGTGTCCTGCATGCCCTTCATTTTCTGGTAAGTTGGCAAGAACACCTGGGAAGATAAGTTGGAGGCAACCATATTGTTTTCCCCCAATTTGGTTCCATAACTGGGAGCAGTGTGGTATTTGGGCAGATTCTGCAAGTTAGTCAGAGTCCTCAGATTGCTGTTGATCCTTTGGGTAGCATGAGGTTAAAGCTGGATCTTCTTTGTATGAAGTTGAGCTCATTGAAGTGTTTTGTTGCACGTCTTGTTCTGAGCCTACATTGTACAAATAAGTGGAAGATTCGTCTTGTACAGAGCTTTGGCAAGAGGAATGATGGAATTCTGGCTTCATGTCTTCTGATTGCTGGTCACTTGGTTTTGGGCACAGACTTTTTATGTCCGTCAGTTTCATGTCTTTTGTTTGTATAGTGTTTATTTCCATATCGTCTTTTTGGATACCAGCGGATTGAAGGTCTTGTTGGTTCTTATCTTGATACTGACTCTCTTGTAATTGCTGATGAAGGAAATGTTCGGGTGTGGCATGCAAAGTTTGGGCTTCTTTGTATAGAATTTTCTGCTTTAGGAATTGTTTTTCTAATAGTTCTTGGGTTTGCCAGGCTTGGGATTCCAAATTTAGAGAACGTTGCATTTCATATTTGCGTTCTTCTGCTTTACCACCTTTGTTTCTCCATTCTTGAGTTTCCCAGTCATGGGATTGTTGGCCTAAAGGTTGCCAGTCTTGGTATTTCTGGATTTTGGATTGCAGATGTTCACCTAGCTGCTTTGGGGATTTCCCCTCTTTGCCCTGCTGGTCTTCACCTTGCCAATTTTGCGATTGTTGCTTTAGGTATTGCTTTCCTTGGGTCAGCTGGTGTTCAGCTTGCTGGTCTGAGAATTGCATAATTCGGACTTGCTTAACTATGGGGGGATTCTTTGGGGATATCCAGTTTTTGATTTGCTCATCTAAGGATTTCTTCCTGGGTAATTCCTGGTCTTGGACTGGCAAGTCTAGGGATTGCTTTACTGAAGATTGCCAGCCTTTGCTATGGTGCTCGAAGGAATGCTGCTTCACGGCTTTCTTCATTTGGTGTTTCCCTTTTGAGTTCCAATCTTGGGTCAGTAACTTGACTTCTGATTGAATGTCTTGATATGACACATGTGTAAATTGCTGGTCTTGCTGTTGGGTGTTTTGTAGTTGATTACCCAGGGATTGCTGTTCTAGGTGTACATTATGGGTCTGCAAAGTATGGGATGTTTGGGTTTCCAATTGCATGGTTTCAGATATCAGGTAATTAGACTGTGTGATATGAGATGCTGGTGCTTGAAATAGCATGGCTTGTGATGGAAGAACTTGTACTTGGGAAAGCATATCTTGGGAGGGTGTGTCTTTGGATTGTGTGTTTTGGGATGGTGTGTCTTCGGATGGCATATCTTTAGATATCTGGTCATGAGACTGTGTGATATGGGATGTTGGGGCTTGAATTAGTATGGCTTGTGATGACAGAACTTGTGTTTGAGAAAGCATATCTTGGGAAGGCATTTCTTTGGATTGCGTGTCTTGGGATTGTGTGTTTTGGGGTAGTGTGCCTTGGGATTGTGTGTCTTGGGATCGTGTGTTTTGGGATAGTATGCTTTGGGATTGTGTGTCTTGGGATCGTGTATTTTGGGATAGTGTGCCTTGGGATGGCATATCTTCGGATGTGAGGTCATGAGACTGTGTAGCATGGGATGTTGAGGTTTCAGATAGCAGGGATTGTACTAGCAGAGCTTGAGATGACAAGTCATGTGGTGGTAATGCTTCAAGATTTTTTACATAACGGGGTGGCAAAACTTTGAGTGGCATGGCTTTAGCCTGCGATGATTGCATTTGCATTTCTGGGAGTTGTTTGATAGCAAGTTGTAGCTCTTCATCACTTATTTGTTCAGTGTGTGTGGTTTTTCCTGAGGGCCTTTTCTCTAATATGACAGACAAAGATTTCTCACTATCTTTCTCATAATGTTTTAACAGAGGAGGGGTATATTTCTGCTGTTCATATGTCCCACACAAAGATGTGTGATTATGACTGCTTCTCTTGTCTGAATGATAGATGGTTATAGGATTTTTTGATACTTTTAATCTGAAGAAGCTATAGCCTCCAAAGAAAACAGGTTGTACGTTGGTCGTTAGGCCATCACTGGAAGGCTCTTCTTGAATGTCAAACTGTATTACAGCATTTTCTTCTGTTATAGATAATTCATTCCTTTGAGTAACATCCAATGGCAAGAAAAACACAATCTATAAAACCAAGGGGTAGGGAAACATTAATATAATAATCGTCTTTGGTGGTTCTTTCCTTCTTGTATTCCCAAGTCATTTTCATCTCTGTGTTAAGACAGTAGGTAGGAGATAACAACTACAGGAGGAGTAAGAAAACCAATGCTACTGCCCTTTGCCATCAACTCATTGGTTTTATTTTGGACAAGTCATCACCTTCTATTATCTCAAATATTGAATGGGAAAATTTTATTAAGATAGTCTGAAAGTCTTCCCATACTTAACATTATAAAGCTTCTAAGACATTTAAAATTATCCAGTCAATATTCATATACTCAGTTTTATTTATTTATTGATCACCTACTAGATGAACTAGATGCTGCAGGTCAAAGATAATTAGAAGTGGGTTTTGCCTATAAGGTGCTCACAACTATAGGTAAACCAAGGTATAAGTAGATAACAATGTAGTTTAGCAAATGCTATTACGTAAGTAGCCACTAAGTGCTTTATGAGACTGTAGACGACAACCTAATTCTGAGAAAGCCAGGAAATGTTTCATAGAAGAGGTGGTATTTGGTCTGTATCTTGATGAGTAGGAATTCCTCAGGCAATCAAGTAACATGAAGTGAGATAGGAGTCAAAATCCAGGTCAAGGACACAGTGGGTACAAAAAGATAAGGCTGTGAGGTAGCACAGTGTGAGGGCAGGCGATAAGCAGTTAGATATTTTTAGATGGTATGCTATGTGCTATTTCTCTTCTCTGCTTTCTCTCTGGTGAGGGAATGGCCTCACACACCCTTATGACCCAAGTATAAGCTCCTCATGCGACAGTCACATGGTTCCCATTAAGTCTGGTCTTTCATATATTTTGGCAGGGAGATAAGGGGATATGTCAAAATGATGAAGGACAGCAGATAGAGCAAGAAAAGGAAGTATAGTTGGCTCAAAGGGTGGAATGGGCCTTTAGTTTTAAGCTTGTACTTCCCTGACCTTCCTAATGTGAAAAGTTTTAGTTCAGCATCTGAGAACATTACTCTGCCCACTGACAGGCCAGACGTCACCTTGGAATGTCCTGATGGGAACCGTTCTTAGAACACTGAACACACCTCATTTGACTTGGACCAGCACTTGCTTCTGAAGGAGGCTACAGTCACAGAGATGCTGAGTTCCACTATGCTGAGGATCAGTAAGATGGATAGAATTCCCTGCAAAAAAATATGAGGATAAATAAATGGCATTTGGGATGAAAGCTATTCTATTTTAAAGATCTAAGCCAAGCTTTACTTGGTCTTACACTGTATGACCAAGTAAAGCAAAACCTATACTTTAGATGCATCTGTAGCCATCAGTGATTGAACAGTTTTCATCTTATGTCTTCCTGATAAGCAGGGGGAACCATCTCCAAACCCCATATGGGCCAGGCAACCATCTTAAATGAGTGAAACAGTTAGGAGGGGAGATGGTAGAGAGTAAAGGGATTTCTAGGGTTCATCCATTACAATAGTTACCATGTGAGAATATTGGCCCCATGATGCCTGGAGGAAATAATGAAAGAAAACTTCCCTACACTGGCGAGGGAGAAAGTCACACAAGTTCAGGAAGCACAGAGGGTTCCAAACAAGAGGGACCCAAAGAGACCCACTCCAAGACACATCATAATTAAAATGGCAAATGTTAAGGACAGAGAGAGAATATGAAGGGCTGCAAGAGAGAGACAAGCAGTGGCCCACAAAGGAACCCCCATAAGGCTGACAGCAGATTTCTCAACAGAAACTCTTCAGGCCAGAAGGGATTGGTGTGAAGTTCTCAAAGTAATGAAAGCAAAAACCTGCAACCAAGACTGCTTTACCCAGCAAGGCTATCATTTAAAATTGAAGATGAAATAAAGAGCTTCCCAGACAAAAGGAGGCTAAAGGAGTTAAGTACCACCAAACCAGCATTGCAAGAAATGCTGAAAGGACTGCTTTAAGAACAAGAAATATTGAGAGGCAGGTACATGGGGAAGGGGGGAAATGGCATTAAATAAGCACGTATCAATAGTAACCTTAAATGCATTGTGAACATAGCTCAGATAAGATTATACAGAACAAGACCACTTACATTGAAAAGGATTCTACCTACAACACATATTCCTTCTAGGGAAGGCATCTTGCAGTAATGGTGCTGGTACTGAAAGCTGATAATGGTGAGTGTGATCCCAGCCACCGCAGCCAAGGAACTGATCACATTCATGGCCATGACGCCTTGCCCCTGGGAAAGTTTTTTTAAAACAATAAAATAATTTAAAAACCAAACCAAAAATACCTTGTAAGAAATTCTTAGTGCATTTATCTTTCCAGATACCCCTCCAGGATGAACTGCTCCACCAGATCAGCGTGCTTGAAAGGCTTGGTAAGTTAAATCCTGATTCATCAAAGTCAGAAGATAAACTGCTTTAATATGAGCCAGGAAGCCAAGAAAAAGAACGGGTACAGTAGGGGTGCTCTATGGTTAATACTCAAGAAAATGTCACTTTATCCTGATGCACCACCTTTCACAATCGATAAGCAACATAGGCTGTTAAAAATTATCTTGGCCCGGCTGCTGTGGCTCAGTGGTTGAGCATCGACCCATGAACCAAGAGGTCACTGGTGTGATTCCCGGTCAGGGCACATGCCCAAGCTGCAGGCCCGATCCCCAGTAGGGAGCGTGCAGGAGGCAGCCGATCGATGAGGTTTCTCTCTCATCGATGTTTCTATCTCTCCATCCCTCTCTAAAAACTGATAAAACCATATCTTTTTAAAAAAAATTACCTTGGCCTTGTAATCAGACCTGATTTTGAGTCTTAGTGAACTGGGACCTCATACAAGATAGCTAATCCCTTGGAATCTCAATTTCTACCTTTAAAAATGAGAGTGATGTCACCTAATTTTAGGGCAGTGCCCACTTATTCACCTATTTTAACAAATGTTTAGTGTGCACTGGCTCTGTGTCAGACACTAAGTTAAGCCCCTGGGATACAGAGATAAACAGGGTAGCCGAGGTCCTGCCGTCATGTGGTTTAATCCATTCCCCAGGGCGATTCAAACAATCCCTGGTGTCTGCCCACTAGATGACAGCAGTACCCCTCTACCCAGCTGTGATAACCAAAAATGTTTGCAGACATTGTGAAATACTGGGGGGGCGGTTAGGGGGTAAAAGTGGGGGCGGGGCCCCACATCGCTCTCAATTAGGAACCACTGAGTTAGAGCAGTGATTTCCGACCTTTTTCCATCTCATCACACACATAAACTAATTACTGAAATTTTAAGGCACACCAACATTTTTTGCTGATTTGACAAAAAAAAAATAGGTATAATTTTGACTCATTCACAGTTTCACACTGGATGGCTATTGTTGCATTGGCTATTGTCATTTTTTTGTGTGGGTTTTTTTTTTTTTTTTGGACAATCTAAGGGAAAAGAGGTCAGTGCCCCTGACTAATAGTCAGGTATCCCTTCATTTAAAAATTCTTGCCCTACACAAGCCAAGGACACGAACAATGGTGGGGAGAGGGACTGGGGAGGGGGAAGGAACAGGGTGGAACGGGTCATTGGGGAGAAAAAGGGACATCTGTAATATTTTAAACAAAAAAAAAATTAAAAAAAAAAATTCTTGCCCTGGCCGGCTTTGCTCAGTGGTTAGAGCTCCTGCCCATGGGCTGAAGGGTCCCTGGTTTGATTCCAGCCAAGGGCACGTCCCTCAGTTGCAGGCTCGATCCCAGGTCCTGGTTGGGGTGCATGTCGGAGGCAACCAACCCATGCGTCTCTCTCACATCCATGTTTCTCTCTCTCTCTCCCTCCCTTCCACTCTCTCTGAAAGGCAATGGAAAAATATCCTCAGGTGAGAACAAAAATAAACAAACAAATAAATATTCTTGTGCACACCGGTTGAAAATTGCTGTTAGAGGAATGTAGGAGGGTTTCTAATAAGCATCTCTTTCAGTTTCGCTGACCAGGGAAACTGGAACCGGTGAAAGAATGTAGGGCTAGTGGCAACACTGACGAACAGGAATGACATGAATGCGAATCTGATGTATAAGGGTTTTCCTAGGAGATCTTAGATTACTAAAGGCTTTACACACAAAGATGAGATAAAGCAAGTAGAAGATTTTAAATTACAAAGAAGTCATGAAAATTACTTACCAGAAAATTTCTCTTCCTGTTGAGTCCTGTGAGATATCCCGTAATAATGAACTTTTCAGAAGAAAAGAGACAAAAGTTAACAGGTGATGGGCTTTACCACCTTACAATATAATTTACTTTGGAAGCTATATTGTAATCTATGCATCTGTGACTCTCCCAGACTTCCTAGTCTTTCCACCTGAACATCAGAGGACAGTAGCACGGACATAAGATACTGTGCGGGTTGTGCTCAGCACTAAACTTCTTTGCCAGGGTCAACTGGGAGAGGCAGGCCCCTCTTTAAGGTCCAAAGGATCCCACTCAGATGTTTGGCCCAGCTGGGCTCCAGAACAAAAGATGATCCTGGACTCGGGGTGTGGAAAAGGGAAGGGTGAGCTGTGTCTGCTCTGAGCAGATGGAAGGAGACTTCCTCAGGGTGGAGCTCTCCAAGGCTGATGTGGGAGCTGGAATCTAGTGTAATGATCTCAGCCACTCCTTTTTTGGAAATTGAATAAAGATTTTATTATACCACACACATAACAAGCAACTGGTACAGAAAAGCTGTTTTCAGTTATTCTGTTGAGAATTTCTTTCCATGATTTCTCCCATTAAAGTATAGTTTTCAAAACAGCCGCCATGACAAAGGAAGCATCTAATTAGTTTATATTCTTCTGATCCAAGAATGCTGAACATTTACTGTCCATCTGTCCTTATATCAGCCATGTAATGAACACAGTGTATATTAGCTATCTTTGAACTCGAAGAACTGTTGAAGTCTCTTCTGATGTTCTGCAGATGCTTGAACAGAATTCAGATGTTGACCAAATGTAGTAGTTATTCAACAGATGGTAGTTTTTAGTGATGCCCTAAATGCAAATCTTAATGTTTCACAAGAAGCACCCACAAGGTTCCTGAAATCCGAGGTGGTTTACTGGAACCACGAAGAAGCTTGAAGTACTTGTCAGCTGTCCCTTGCAGCATCAACAAAGTATTGAGAATTGCTGGTAGTGTAGTCTGGACAACTGCAAATCTATCTTCTGTAAATGATGCTGCTCCTGAGACAGAGCTTCCAACAGCCTGAATGGAGGCCTCTGGGTGCCTACTGAAAAAATACATGATCAGCACCCATTTTGACAAGAAATTCTTAATCCATTCGCATTTATTCTGAGTCCATGAATAAATCACACTGGGCTCTCATTGTCTTGCCCTCAGCACTAACAGCGCACGGAAGGTTAGAAAATTCATTCATTTTCTGATCAGAAGCAGAAGTCCATAATCTTGGCCCTTTTCTTATTAACTGAGAACTTTGAGGTGACCCATAGCAGGTATTTACATAAAAATCTCAGCCATCCTACTCATTCAATGGGCATCCAAGGGGACTTGTAACATCAGGAGTAGATAATTTTGAGGATGACAGTGGTGTCTTAACGAATGGTGACACTGAAGGACAAGGCACTTGGCTAGATCTTGGGGTCTGAGAAGTAGTTTCTTCTGGAGAATTCAATTTCTTAGGTTCCTCTGGGTATGATGAAGACATTACTCTTCCATTCATAGCAGCGGCTTCTTGGCAGAGAACCAGTTTCTGAGTCATATCATATAAAAGATTCCAACACTCCCTTGAAGTGGCTGTCAGATTGTGCAAATGTCCTCCTGGTTGGCTAAGACTAAAACCTCCTTGTCTTCATGAAGGAGACTATTGAGAAAGCAGCACCAGGCCCTGCAAGGCCACATCCTCTATGATGAGGGGAGAACTGCTGTTTAAAACTCCCTATTACATGACAAACCATCTAATTCTAAGAGCAATTCACCACTTCTCTCAGAGAAGGCCTGTTTACCAGAACTTTCAGCAGCTAGGACACTACTGAAGATATACTTTATGCTCAGTAAATATCTTCTCAATGAAGGGTGGTGTCTTAACAAGCGGTATGCCGGGACCTCATTAAAATTCATGCCTTCAGATCACACAAAGTCACACTGGGAAAATTTGGCTGTGAAATGGGCAAGTGAGAAGTGGGTCTGTTTGATTTTTCTACAGTGCGACACCTGTAGTTTGAAGATCACATTCAGGATTATGTATATTTGGAAATGAAAACCCTACGAATTGTCTTCGAAACACAGATGGTAGAAAAGGCATGGAATATTTATGTTCATCTAGAGGGAGCAGGGATTTTAATAGAGACAAAAGTCTTATTTATTTTTCATTCCATCCATTTGTTCATTGAATGATCCATTCATTCACACCTACTGTGCATTAAGCAGGAGTCTAGGTCCTGAGGCTGTACCAGCCACTGAGGCAATATTCTTGCCCTCTTGGGAGTGTATGTTCCAGTGGTGGAAGCTCTAATGAGTCTGCCCTTGAATATTGGAGCACAAGGACAGGAGCCAAGGCTGTGAGCATTGGACAGAAATAGCACTGTACTGAGAATTTTAGTTTTGGCTCCAAAATTAACTAGATAAGTAACACATGTAAGATTGTCTTTCAGGATAACAAGGGGGTTGAACCATAATCATCATCTTAAAATTCTCCTTAAGCTGTGGGAGTCTGTGATTCCATGAGTGCTAACTAGATATGTTTAAATTATTGATTCCTCTCAAACTCAGTGTCCTTATTTGCAAAGGGAAAAGCAGGATCTTTACTCATCTAATCTCCCAGATTGGTAGAAAGGAGCCAATGCCTTACTATACACACAAGGGTTTTGGAAACCTTTAAACACTGCACTCCTGAGAGTAGTTATTACTATGATGATGGCAGTGCAGTGACTAAATGGAATCATTTCTCTTACCATGGAAGGGCCTGGTCTCCTTGGGGACCAGGTTCATGGGATTCATTATCCCAGGACTTGAGGCAGTTCAAACCAGTCTTTATAGTAATTTTTCTAAAGCTCCTGACAGTACTCACAATAAGTGCTCCCCAGAATGGGTATCCTGTGAAGAAAACGAGTGGAAATCTTTGGGAGAAAGTGAAGTAATTAAATGCAAATATAGCTCCAATGCCCGCAATGATCAAGGCAAGCAGGATCTGGATAGCCTGTGAAGAGAGAAATGGGTACCTGAGGTCACAAGTGCCCCAGCATCTTTGCACTGGCGCTCCCAGGCCCCTTGAGCTTCCCTCTAAGTCCCTTAACACCTTCCTCTTTCCACTGACCAACCGCTCGAAGGTTTCCAGGAGGCCAATATGTCTCTCTCCCCATCACACTCATCTGGGCCCTTCAGGGTCAAATGCTTTACTCTCATCCATCACAACTTGCTATATCCCCTGGTAATACCAATTTATCCTGTATCAGAAAAATTTGAGTATTTGCCTGACTTGACCTGTAGATTGCGAACTTCCCGAGGACAGAGGCTACAAGCTCTTCTCCTTTACATTTTTCCTTCTGTAGCACCAGCAGCCCGTGATTACCCTCCCTCCCCAGCACACACACATTTTCCACATTCGCTGCCTGCTTTGGGGATTGTAGCTCAGCCCAGTTCTCTAAAAGCTTACGAAGTTCGCTGATGCGGGGCAGAGAGGCTGGGGTATGGTTATGTCTCACCCCTTAGTGCGACGGCCTGACTGGAGCTGAGAGTAACCTAGTGGGCTATCGGTCTGCAGGGAGGGGAACTCCTCGGGGGTCTTGCGGGGCCAGCGGCTCTTCTCAGAGCAGAGCTGCTCCTCCAGCATGCTGGCCTTTGTCCCCAGGGCACACCTCTGTGTTGCCTTGCCACAGGTAGTGACTTCACTCTTGTCCTAAGGAGGCTGTGCATACACCTCCCTTCTAGGTACATTGATGACTGAAACTGTTCATATGTGTACGTCTACTTTGTTGATGACCATGGAGCACTGGACATGGTTTTTGAAGAACTCTTAGTGCCTGTAACAGCACAAAGGGGAAGTTTCAACTCTCCTCTAATGGGTTTTGCTCCAAGCTCAGAGGTGCCACCACAGCCTGAAGTTGCCTCCTCAATAAAATATTTGGAAAAATTACACTGGTTTCCTGCATCCCCTCCGTTATGATTCAAAGACCAATACTAACTCCTTATGAAACAGTCCTAGGATCTCCTCAGGGTAAAGGGGAGTTAGTAATTATAATGAAATATTCTATTTCTCAGAGTTAAATAAGCCCTCAGGAACATTTCCAAGACATGAGGCAAACTGTGTGTGTTTCTAAACAGAACTTTTACTTCTCTTGCCTATCAAAACTCTAGAGAAATGGTATTATTGGCTACACATTGGCTCTTGTACTGATGATCCAATTATTTGTACATGCAAATGATTTAAAAGTACTTATGATTCATCAAGAAGGATATGTCGTGGTTGAAAGGTGAGGGGGGAAAGAGGGAGTCCACTCCCTTCCTGAAAAACACCTCTGCAGACATACATGGAAAAATAGCATCTTTTTTCCCTTCCAAGAAGACCCACGGATGGGAGACGACTTACCCCCAAGACTCTTGGCTCTCCCTTGAGGAAATCCAGCAGAGAGCTGTGAGGCACGTAGGGAAAAGCAGTCAATACCGTTTCATTTGGTTGCACGGTGATAACACGGGTCGGTCTTTTGACCTCTAATGGTGGATCCATGATTCAATGGCAAGACTCTAGTAGAAGAGTGAGTGAGTGAACATGGCAGGCACGGTCATGGCCTTCCCTTGGTCACACGTGGAGTCCTTAGCAATGAGCCATAGTGATTTCTCCACTCAGTACTAGAACCACAGAATCATAGTCATTGAGTCACAGAGGCTTAGAATTCCAGGGCACATCCGTCCCCTGCCTTCCTGGTGAAGAATTCAGTCACTCACAAGACGTGCTTCCTTGTCAGCTGATTAGAGACAGACAGTAAACACCAAATAAATGGACGGTATATGTATAAACAAATTCCAGCATCTCCGTTCATGAGATATAAAGGAACTATGTTCATGAGATATAAAGGAACTATGTTCATGAGACATAAAGTGCTCTAGGCACTGTAGGAGGGGCTTGGTTTTAACATGTATTAAACTGTTTTGAACAATTCAGGGCTGAAACTGAGGTGCAGAGAGGTCCGGGTGCCCAGGGTCAATGCTACGGGACAGGGGAAGGAGTTGAACTCCGCTCCTCTATCTTGGCATCTGTGCTGTTTCTACTCGAGCTTCCACCCTCTTTCAGAAGCAGGCTCCCACTTGCAGCTCATGAATTGTCTCCTATATTATTTACCCAGATTCCTTTGTAGTATAAAAACCAGTCATTAAGAAGGTATAGGCCCCGATGTAGCTCCCGTTTTAATAGAGCACATTTTAGCTTTCAGAAAGACCAGTAAAACTAATTCTGCTAGAGGCCTTCCTGCTTTAAATCATACAAATGCAATTAAATCAATATACAGGGTCCTTTTGGAATTTTGCTTTCCACATTAATCCTTTATATTCGCTGTGATTTTAACTAGTGAACCATAAAGACAAACGATTTCAGAAAACCAAAAATAATGTACAAATACTATCTTGAGATTTTCCTAGTTCGTGGCAACCACGCATAGCAAGGTCTCTGGGCCTCAGCACTGCTGGCATTTAGGGCCCGATAATTCCTTGCTGTGGGAAGTTCTGTGCATTGTAGGATATTTGGCAGCATCTCTGGCCTCCACGCATCAGATGCTAGTAGCACGTCCCCAATTGTGACAACCAAAACTGTCTCCAGATATGGCCAAAGTAGCTCTCTGAGGGAAACACATCATTCCAAGTTGAGAACCACTGGTGTATAAAAATAATTGCACACTGTGCTTTCTGCTTATTTTTTATATATATATATTTCCTCATTGTTTTTTACATCCAAACATCAGAGAAGGGATGTATTTCTCAACACAACATTTTTCTGCCGATGTTTATTCAGGTAAATTTTAATGTATGTGCCTAACGTGCAATGCAACATTTTAAACAAAACCAAGTGTGAGGCAAGTGTGTATTTAAATTCTAAGTGAGCTGATAGGCCCTCGGAATCACGTGGGGTTTTGAAAAGCCCGCTGTGCAGCGCAAGGGAAGAGCAGGCCAGATGGTGCTGGCTCGAACCGCAGCCACGAACCGCAGCCACGAACTGCGCACACGGCGTGTTTGCAGCCAAGCGCCGTGATTATTTGGTGAGCAAGTAACTGCAATATTCTAAGCCTTTTATAACCTGTTAACTTACTACCTATATGTAGATAGTTTACTGCCTTTTGCTTATATTTTAGGAAATTGAATGGGAGTTTGGGTAATAGCATAGAATTTGTTTCCTTTAAAATGATGAAAAAGAACTGTCTTCATGCAGAATCCCTGATTTTTAGGGATGAATTACTGATATTAAGCAGGCGAAGGTTATTTCAAAATGTGTCTCATTTTACCATTTTGGTTCTCAGCCTCTGCTTTTTTCTACTGCTTCTGACAATTCTGAATAGAATTCTCCAGATNGGCGAAGCTTATTTCAAAATGTGTCTCATTTTACCATTTTGGTTCTCAGCCTCTGCTTTTTTCTACTGCTTCTGACAATTCTGAATAGAATTCTCCAGATAGTCTGAAGAAACTTTCTATTAACAGCAAAAAACAAACAGCTGAAGAAACCAGATGGCGGCGTAGGGAGCAGCTGCACCCGCCGCCTCCTGCAGCCGCATCAAAATCACAACTAAAACCCTGAACCACCGTCACTCAGAGCCTCCTGGGATCCGGCTGCACAGAAGCCCCGCAACCAGGGAGATGAAGAAGCACCAACACCGGGATGAGGAGCAGAGACGCGGGTGGATCAGGGCTGGATCCCGGAGACGTGGCCGCGGGCCCACACCCGGTGCCGCGGGTAAACCCGGGAGGGAATCTTGGCGGTAGGGGTTTCCCAGAGGAGGGAGGGGTCCCAGCCCCACAGCAGGCCCCCAGCCCAGGGCTCCAGGCCGGGAAGAGACGTCCCCACAACTCCGGGCT